GAGTCTGCTTCTCCCTCTGACCCTCCCCCCTCTCATGCTCTCTCTATCTCATTCTCTCTCAAATGAATAAATGAAATCTTAAAAAAAAAAAAAAAGAAAGTGCTTAGAACAGTGCCTGGCACTTGGCTAGCATTGAATAGGTGTGGGCTTGAGAAAAAAAACTATAAAAAAAAAAACAAACACCTCTCTTCTTCCCCTGTTATTTGGGATTTGGAGAGGGACTTACCCAAAGCCACAGAGCCCATAAGCTGCAGAGGCAGGATTCGAACTCGGGCAGTCTGACTCCCCAGCGCACACTCCTATCTACAGTGCACTTGGAAGCCCGAGTACACGCCCAGGGTCCCCACCGATAGCCTTGCTCCCCACCCCCCGCTGCCCAGGTTAGCCCAGACTGATGGCTGGGAGCTCGTCTCACCTGATATTCCCCAGTGTGGCGATGATGAGGCCCAGGGCCAGCCCGTGTGCCAAGGCTGGCTGCAGCAGCCCTGTGTCCGTCCCGTTCTCGATGACCGACAGGCAGCCGATGAAGATGAAGAGGGCAGAGCCCAGCAGTTCCACCAGACAGGGCTGCAGGAACCGCTCGTACCAGGACCCACGACACCTGCCCCCCATGCTTGGCGCCTTCGCCTTGCCACTGCCAAATTCAGGGTCACACATAGACATAGCTGCCTGTGGTAGGAAAAAGGGAGAGTGGGCACGGGTGGGAGGAGAGCCCAGAAAGAAGCCCCCAGTGCCACAGCCTTGAGTCGATTCTCAGCACTCCCTTGCACGGCCCAGTGACAGAGGCAGCAGTGGGCTCACCTCTGCAGACATCAGGGCCAAAGTGACCTGGAGCCTGCTCGTGCCTGAGCTGGCTGGGAAACCCACACCTGCGCTACTGGACCCTCTTATCTCCGGGACCAGGGCTGCTGATCTGCTTCAGGCTCTGGCTCTTTTAAAGGGCTGCAGAGCCTCCCCGAGGGTGCCAAGAAAGCAATAAAGCGGGGGTGGGAGGTGGCCCTGGGGCCCAGCAGAGGAAACATATTTTTTTATCTCAACTGGGCAGGGCAGGGGATGGTCAAGGATTGCTGAGCTTTCTGCCAATGAGCAAAAGTCACAGGCTTACCGCATCACCTGGAGAGCGCTCCAAGCCTTCCCCAGCAGGGCCCAGCACCCCCAGCCCCCTGCGGTCACCATCAGGGTCCACCAGTATGTGGGTAGGAGGAGGGCTCCAGTGGGTTGGGACCGCGTGTGTGGGGAATAATGGCAAACTCATCTTCAGTGATTTTTTCCACGGATTCCCTCGGACATCTCCTCGTAGCTCAACAACTGCACTCAGTCACCCTCAAAGGCTGATCCAGGACTGAGTGTGTGGATGGATGACCATGCCCTGATGGTCAGAGGCAGCCAAGGCGACACCATGCGCCATGGGATAGCCTGTGGGCTTTGGAAACAGGCTGCCTGGATCTCAGTCCCAATTCTGCCGTCAGCTGGTCGTGGAAACTTTCCACTGTGGATGGTGTAAGAGTACTAGCGATGTGGGGTCGTTGTGTGGTTTGAATGAGTTAATATAACAAAGAGCTTACAACAGTGCCAGACACACGATCAACACAACACCAGCATCTACTGATTAAGAATACAGATTTATGTTTATATATTTATATTTATTGAGCAATTTCTACATGCCTTCTACCTGCCAGGCACTGGGCTAAGTCCCTTCTATGTAGTATCTCATTTAAACATCACAGCAACCCTGTGAGGTGGGTACTACTATTATAGCATGTTATACACAGGGAAGTGGAAATTCAGGAAAGTTATGTTTCCCAGGGTCACTTCGGTTTTGTGATTGCAAAACTGGTGGGCTAAGTCACAAAGGACAAATACTGCATGAGGTCCCTGGAGCAGTAAGATTCATAGAGATAGAAACTAGATGGTGGTTGACAGGGGTGGGGGTGGGGCAGAGGGGACTGGGGAGTTGTTTTTTAATGGATGAAGAGTTTCAGTTTGGGAAGATGAAGTTCTACAGATGGATGGTTGCACAACAGTATGAATGTACTTAATGACACTGAACTATACACTTAAAAGTGGTTGAAATGGTAAATTTTATATTGTGTGTATTTAACCACAATTGGGGGGAAAAAATAACTTGTGGGTTAAGCCACTGCAGTCTACTGCCTTTCTAAGATGGATGGATGCATGGATGCATGGATGGGTGGATGGATGGATGATGGATGGAAAGAAAGAGGGAAGGAAGCAAGGAGGGAAAGAAGGAAGAAAGGAAGGGAAGGACAAAGGGAAGGATGGGGGAGGGTCGGAGGAAGGAAAGAAGAGGAGAGAGATGGGTTTCTTTATTGGTCCATTCAACAAATATTTAAATACCTACCATGAACTAGTTCTAAGAGCTAACTGGAAATGTAGCAATGAATAAGGCAGGCGAAGATTCTTTCAGTGCTCATAACTATTATCTGAGTGTTTTTCTGTACAGATAGAGATGCATAGAGAAATAGGTCAGCGATAAAAGAATTTAATGAAAATGCCTACATATCCAACACTGTGCTAAGCCCCCCGCATCTATTCACAACAACCCTATGATTTCTTATCCCTATCTTCAGATGATAAAATCAAGGCACAGAGAAGTTGAAGAAATTGCCCAAGGTTGTATAGATAAAAAGTATTTGTTTCAGGACAGAGAAGATGCATCAAGGGTATGACAGTTTGCTGAAACCTCTTTTCAGCTGGAGGCTCCAGAATGCAGCCCCTCTTTTGAATATCTGCACATTTCGGAAAGTTTAGGGTTGATTATCTTAAGACCCGTACCCTCCCTCCTCTGTGCCCACTGCACACCATACATGATGTCTCTTACACCCTTCCTCCAGTGTCCTTGCAAATGGCAACACGAGACAACTGTCCAATCTTCTGCTTCCCCCATCTTCTTCATGCTTTGCCCCAGTCCTGCCAAGAGCTGCTTCCAGAACATTTCTCTCCTGGTTTCACCCAGGCCTCCATCAGTTCTTGCTTAGTCTCTTGAAAAAAAAAAAATCAAATGGTCATGATACACCGGCCAGGGGCTAGGCCCCGCCCTGGACACCTCACGAGCACTCCGTCGATTAATATTTACAATCATCTAGTATCTTCCCCATTTCACAGGAGGCAGGAACTCCCAGCTGGGCCTGCTATAACTCCTCATCACCTAGCTCCTCATCACCCTAGCTTCACCCAATTTTAATCTGTTCCTCCCATACTGGAACCAGGAGGGCACAGTTGGGCACTTTGGTCCAGGTGGGGGGTCAGGCTTCTCTCCTTTCGCCTGCTGGCTTCTCTCTCAGCCTCAGTGTTTTCTTCTGGAAAAGTGAGCTAATATGAAACAGTGCACTGAGCACAGGGCCCAATTCAGAGCAGGTGCCCCATCAATAATCCCTATTATTATGGTCTGTCGGAGTACCTATTTGTCAGAGTAGGCTAACCCGTGCAACAAAAAAACCAATGTTTTGATGGCTTCACATAATACAAATTGATTCATTGCTGACATAATAGTTCATAGCAGGCCCTTTATGACATGGTGACTCGGGGATCCAGGCCACTGCCACCTTAGGGACTCACCATCTAAGTCACCAGCCAGCAGATGGGGAAAGAGAGGACATGGGGGTTGTTCGGGATGCATTTATGAGCTAGGCCTAAAGTGGCAAATAGCACTTTCATCCATATTTGATTGACTAGAACTCAGTCCTGTGGCTTCGCCCGACCACAAAGGAGTCTGGGAGGGGCGCCTGGGTGGCTCCGTCGGTTAAGGATCTGCCTTCGGCTCAGGTCATGGTCCCAGGGTCCTGGGATCGAGCCCCACATCGGGCGCCCTGCTCAGCGGGAAGCCTGCTTCTCCCTCTCCCACTCCCCCTGCTTGTGTTCCCTCTCTAACCGCGTCTCTTTCTGTCAAATAAATAAATAAAACCTTAAAAAAAAAAAAAAGAGTCTGGGAAATGTAGTCTGTGTGCCCAGGAGGCAAAAGAAAGGCGTTTCGTGAGCACCGGAAATTTCTGCCACAGGGCAGTTGTTGTTGCTCCCCAGACTGTCCACCTAATCACGTCCCTCCCTGCATCAAAATCTGTCAGCCCCTCCTGTGGCTTTCAAGGCAAAACCAAACTCCTAGAGCCAGCCACAGAGACTATGAGTCCTGATGTGGGAAACAAAGGCAGAAGAGAAATTATTAAATTTCCTGACAACCTACAGCCCACTGACAAGTCCTTAAAACAGGCAGAGTGACATTCCTCTAGGAGCTCTGCTGTCTCAATGTTGATACTTCTCTCGGGGCAAAAGGCAATCCTAGCCTGACCCCCAGGACCCTGTAAGTCTACTTTAACATACAAAAATTCCTTTGGAAACTTCCTTTATCTCTACCCCCCAAGATGCACGTTGGCAATCATCCCCCAAGCATATGACCCACTGATATACATCTGAAGGGTCTCATGACTGAGTTTTTACCAAACAGTAATAAATGACCTTTTCCCAACAATAGCTAGCCCCCTCAAGATCCTGGAAAACTTGTTTCCAAAATACCTGGGAGGCTTGCACTATCCCTAAACCCCTCCCAACTTGAAAGTATATAATGGGCCGCTCCTCATGACCCCAGTACAGCAGCTCTTTCTGCCCACGGGTCCTGTCCTTGTGCTTTAATAAAACCACCTTTTTGCACCAAAGATGTCTCAGGAATTCTTTCTTGGCCGTCAACCTCGGACCCTATCTTTCCTACATCAAGTCCAACCCCTGACTCATCTCCTGCCACATGAACCCTAAACAATGTGTCAGATAAGCCAGGCGCCCGCACCCCTCCCTGCACATGCTGTTCCCCATATTCGGAGTCCTGTTTTGCCCCCTGGGCCAGCTTCTACTCCGCACTCAAATCTCAGGCATCCACCCTCCCTGACCCCTGGGCCAACTAGATGTCAGTCCTTGAGACATGCCCTCCCTCGCCCGAGCCAGGGCTGGTCTCAGTAGCACCAAAACCAGCGGCTCTCCAGGGGAAAACTGAATGTCATTCGGCAAAACAACGTGTTTCTACAACTCAGGATTTCTTGCCTGGCCTGATGTCCCCATACACAATGCCCTGGTCTCCCCAAACCATTAAAATAACTGGTGGGCTAGGGAGATAGTGTCTTCTTAAGAACTTGTTTGGCTTGGCCAACTTTTCAGTCTTCCAATCCCGGGTCTGGTTGACATGACTGAGGCCTCTAATTTTTATCCCTGTTTAGATCCCTGTTTAGTTCAAGATGTCTCTGCAACTGTAGGTACCTGTCTGCCATCCACCACCAGGTCCAGATGGAGTATAAAAGCAGGTCTATTTTATCCCGTCGCACTGCCCTTCCTTCCTTTCTCACTTTGATAGCTGCATTGTGGTGCAAGAATATGATGCTGGCTCCACGGCAGCTATCTTAAGACCATGAGGTACAACTTGCCAGAAGGGTGGATCTTTGATGATACCACCAAGCCCCCAGAGTAAGTCCAAGATCAACTACTTCATTCAGGCTTTCTTGTTAAATAAACCTGCACTTCCCAGATTGTGTACCAGGGCACCCCAGAGAGCTGCACTGAACTCACAGAGGGACTACAGGGTATTATAAAAATTTCAAGGGAAATATAGTGATGCTCAGTATCTGTCAGACACCATGTGAATGACTAGCTCAAGGTTGTTCAAAGTCGTAATATTAAATAGCCCTGCATTCCTTCCAATAACCTTATGTCTTTGCAAAGCTGGTTTTATGGGGGTTGCTATAGTAAAAAGTTAAGTACCACACAAAAATCAATGTGGAAGAGGAAAGGTAGGTGGTAGTGTCCAGTCCAATTTCAAGGTCTGGGAAATTGTGCGGTGCCCAGAGGTACCCACATCCCACCTGTAGCATTTAAGAATGGAAGTTATTTAAGAACTCAGTTCAACTGAGTTATTTATAGTCATTTGA